GGGCGCGGGCCGGGCGGGCGCGGGAGGCCCGGCGGGCGGGAGTCGGGCCTGGGCGGGCGGCTCGGCGCCACCTGTCCACACACCCCATTCCCCGCGCTCGGCCGGGCCTGCCCCCGCCGCAGAGTCCCGCTGGAGACCGTCGAGGATAGGCTGTGTGAGTGTGAGTGCGTGCTAACGACCGCTTCGCTACCGCCGTGCAACAGTTGTGTAAATGCTCGAATACGCCATCGTGCTCACTTGCTCCACAGAAGGCCCTTTGCAGCTCCAGCCTACGGTTTTCTGACGACAGCGATTTGGGTAGTTCGGGAAAGAAATGCAAAAGATACAGGGCCGCGAGTCACTCAAACGGTTTTCGTTCCTCCCCAAATCGTAGTGTTTTTATTACGCGGATTGCTTTTACTGCAGTTGCGGGGCGGGGTGGGGGGGCGGCGGCGCAGGGGCTTGAAGAAAAAGCCCGTACCTCATCCACGCAGTCTGCACAATCTCGGGTTCTCTCTAGCTTTTGAGAATGCCTAAGTTTATGTACGTGTTTCTATATGCGTGTTTTCCATAAGCAGGGTGTTGGTTTTATCTTCTTTTCACTTAATATACATTGGGGACTTTTTCTCTATGGGTTAAACCCAAAGCATAAAAGGTTAGAAAGAAACTCGTTGAAGATTTGATTACGTATCACTGCAGTAGTCAGCCCATTGGTTGGAAGAAAACTGAAATCAGGGTAGCAACCAGTTTCCATAAAATATTGTTTACTTTGCTTAATAATTTGGGGGCAGTGCTTTTCACACTGCAATTTTCAACCTGTTTGTGAATTGTGAAATTAATTTGGTTGTTCATAACTAGCATTAAAAAAATGAAATAAGGTAACAAAATACCAGAATCTATATTGCGGGGTATTGTTCTTTGAAATCTTTTTAAAACTGCGTGTGCCTCTGTGTGTGTGTGTGTGTGTGTGTGTGTGTGTGTGTGCGCGCGTGCGCGCGCGCGTGCACGAGTGCGCGCTCACCCACTGAGTTGTAATATCAAAATTGTATTGTTTCCTATGGTCTCATGCTAAATAAATCGAAAGTCACTAAAGAACTGTCAACACCCAGAATGGGAATAGTGGTGAAATTAAACCAGATGTTAATTTTAGCCTTTTTTCTTTTTGGGATAATGACATTGTGCATTGCACCAAATTTGGCTGCTAATTATTTGCTTTCATCTAATATTAAAACAATGACATTTCTGAAAAACACAGAAACATTTTGTAGAAGTTGAGGAATTGAAGCACAATTTCCTCCCACTGACCAGCCCCTCTGGATTTTGGTGTGAGACCTGGAACAATATACCTCCTCTTTCTAAACCTCGATTTTGCCTCCTCTTTTTATAAGAAAATGCATATGAAGCTGTTGACAGCATGCCTGGCTCAGATTTAAGTGCTCACGGTTAGCTATTATTATTTTATTAGGACGCAATGGAGGTGTCCAGGATGCTTGTCGCCACCGCGAAGCCAGCATAGCATGGATAATCCAAAAGGAAAAAAAAGCAAAGGTGAAAATTAGTTGATAGTGTTACATGAAGGAACTGACACTGGGTTAAAATAGTCTTTTTCTATATCGTTTGGCCATTGTTATGATTGTGATTGCTTCCCATACTTCCTACTACTAGATAGGTAATTTAAATCGTGGGTTTAAATTTAAAAATTGGTTTTGTTTTGTATTTTCTTTTTCCTTTTCTTGTTTTTTTTTTTTTGAGACAAGGTCTCCCTATATAGCCGGCTCTTGGATTCCTGATTATTCTGTGTCAGTCTCCCAAGTGCTGGGATTATAGGTGTGTGCCACCATACCCAGCTCAGATTGTTTTATTTAAAAAAAAAACAAAACAAAACCAGGTATCTTTCTATTGTTTTTTCTTATTTTCTATTAAGTTGATATCTCTTGTCAGGCAATTGAAAAATATTTCCTATGAGGATTCTCAGTTTTGCTAATTCTTATTACAGTGTCACAGTCAGTCGAAAAAACACTACAATTCCAAAACCATTTCAACAATATTATGTTTATCTCTTTACCCAGTATACATCCCAGATGTACAAGAAATATTTCTTACAAAAAAAAAAGCATTTCATGCAGTTCAGATCTGTTCACTGCCTTAGAGTAGTTTATATAATTTTTAAATGTTTTAAAAAACAAATGAAATGAGTGTGAATGTGGTTATTTTAAAAATAGTGTAAGTTTTATAAAAAATAAATTGACTGCTTTGGACTAAAAAAGGACTTTCCTTTCAGAAGCTTTGACTGGGTGTGACAACTGTAAAAGGCTGGGGAAAAAATGGAAAACAATCATAATTCTGCTCTTGGATTTGAAAATGTGTTTTTTTCTTGTTCTGCTTTACAGCAGTGAAAGGGAAACTTACTGAGGGTGAATTAGATGGTTTGTGAAAAAATGTGACGAAATACAGATGAATTTGTTCACCAAAATGGAACAAAAAAAAAATTCTCCAAACAGCATTGAAACAAAAAAGCCCAACCTGACCTTTAACATATATAGATTTATATGTTTTAAGTTAAAATATTAACATTATATGTGTTTTAAAACTATCTTATCAAATCACCAACTACTGGTCTTTATCTTGAATTGATAAAATGAAAGACTAAGCAGTCATTAAAAATGGTGTTTTGGAATTATATGTAATGTCATGGAAAGGTGCTTATTACGTGTGATTAAATGAAAGAGGAGGATAACAGGGTGGAATGTATACTCTCATTCCCTTCTGCAGAAATACGTGTAGAATAAAGAGCTATATGTGAAAATGGTAATGGGGATTAGAGCTTTTATTTATATTCTTTACTTTTTACAATTGCAGTATAATGTGAATGTTTTTTATAATTAAGAAAGGTATTTTTTTTATAAGCCTACATAAGACTATACTTTGGGGATACTGAGTTTTTGAATTTGAATATTTTTAATATTAACTAATTAGTATCTTAGGAAATGATGCTAAGAAGCTTAACAGTTATATTCATAACCTTTTGAAAAGCTCCTTTGAGTAGGAGCAAATAATTATTCCAACTTCTTTTTAAAAAGCGATAGACCTCTTGTAAAAAAAAAATTCCATATTCTGTGTCTAAATTCTTCAGTAGGGTTTTGAATCCTGCCATGTCAAAATTCAGCAATTTTTCCTGTTTTGCTATCCTCTAAATTCTCAAATGAAATCTTAGATTCAGCTGAGCTTGTTAGTTTGCTATCTCCAAATACACGTGTGCTTTCTTGCTTTTGTACCTGCATTTGTTTGCTATTTCGACTATATTTTCCTAACTTCAGTAGAAGCAAATTCTACCCATTTTCCAAAATCGGGTTAAAAAAAAACCGTATCTATTTTGACCTCCCTGGCCACTGCAGTTTAAATCTTAACAATTAAAGCCATTATCACATCATCATTATTATTATTAGCAGTGAAGGTGGATCTAGTCCAGGCTTCTTGTTTGCCAGGCAAATGCTCTACTACTCAGCCTCACACTATTTTTACTTTGGCAGTTCTCAGATACTGCCTTGCATTTCATTTTCCAGTTCTATTTTACACTCCTTGATAGCAAGAAAGGTTGCCCTCTCTTTGTTTATCCTTTGAGCTCCTAGGACAGAGCTCTGCACATGGCAGGTACCTAGTAACATACACATTGAGTAAATGGTCTGGCTGATTCTTTTGAGACTAAGTGTTGGAATTTTTTTTTAACCAGTGGTCCTGGGTACAGGTCAATACTTGGCCCATAATGAGGAGGAATAAAAAATTGTGATCTGCTTAATTTGTCCACTATTACAGACAGATGATAAAGAAGTGACAGTATTTTTCATTAAAACTATTATGGTGACTGAGAATTGGGTCATTAGTTCTGGACCCAAACTGAATTTCCCCTGTGTATTTCTTTTAAAAAGTTTTTTGGGAAGCTTATTTGGTTTTGGCGGCAGTTTTTGTCCTTAACGTTACTGGAGGCACAGTTGTGCCTTCCATTCTTTTTCAGCTACTGTTCCTGGAACCCTGGGATCTGAAGTGCAGGGTGTTTGGCCGGCCCACAGTCACTGCTTCAGAACACCTTTTTGGGGAGGTTGTGTTCTGACATTCAATGAGCGATAGTATGTAAAGTGCTTTGTGTTCAAAAGTTAATATTTTTCCTTCTGTTATCAAAATGGTCGTGTTACTTTTTAAATGTCAGTATGACTTGGGGGTACTAGCTTGGTCAGTTGTAGACACGTGAGATTTACTGTTTAAAAAATTATTTTATTTTAATTTACAGATGTTTGTCAGGACTAATAACAGCTGACGAGATACCTGCTCTTTTCTCTTCAAGGTAAGCCATTTCTGACTATAAAAAAAAAAGAAAAGCAAGCAAACAATTGGATTCTAGTAGAATTGGTTCATAAACATAAACTGATGTTATTAGGTCAACTTAGAGTCACCTTGGATAATTTAATTGTATATAATATATATGCGCCTTCTCCTGACTCCACGGGGATTGATTTGTTGGTAAGTTTTAGGTGAGGTCCTGGCATGTGAAATTTTAAAAATGGCAACATATTCTTCTGATTAGTCATAACTCATGGAACAAACTATAGAAAGGACAGGTGATAGTACCTTAGGAGTTAAAGGCTGGAAGGGTTAATTTTTGTATGTGCGATGTTAGACTCATTTTTATTTTGCCTTTCATTCAGTGGATGTTTTAATTAGATATTTCAAGAAACTATTAAAACATTTGTTATTTTATGATTTTCAAAGTTTAGATTTGAGCTTTGGGGTTCTATTAGCCCCAAATGGTCTGATCTAAAAATAGAACTTCATAGCTGTCTCATTTTTTGGCTTTAGATTAATAAATGAAGTAAATTATTGGGGAAAAAGATCCAATTTTAAAATTTTACATATATTATTTCAGATGCTGGTTTAATTGATTTATTTTCCCCTTAAGTGTGGGAAGTCAGAAAATCAAAGGTTCTCAGTAGAAAGTAATAGGTAAGTGAATGTTACGATGAAATTTTGATTTGATAAAGCTTTTGTATTCCTTTTACTGGTTTTAAGGCTGTGATTTTATTTTTCAGCCATAGGTTTTAATTTAATAATTTGATGATTTACATTGCACATAATCTTATTCAGAAGTACTAATGTAGCAGAGCCAAGCTTGTTTAGCACAAGCCTGTAATCCCAGTTGGGAGGTTGAGGATTAGGAGCGGAAAGCCAGCCTGGCTATATGGCAAGACAGTTTAACCCTTGCCTTCCAGATATTCAACACATTACAGATGATTCTGTTGTACCAATAAACACGAATGTTTAAAATAATTGGAATCAAAACTTTAAAACATTATTTTCAGTTTTAGTTTTAACAAACCAGCAAGTACATTGCATTGAATTTAGCTTTTTAATTAAAATAGCTATAATTATACATACATACAGTTTCAACTAACAAGTTGACTGTGTCAGAATTACATAGGGAATCTTTTTTTTTTGGTTTTTGAGCAGAGCAGAGCAATTGTAGAATTATTTAGGAAAAATGAGAAAGCACTCCTGAGAGTGAGAGGAATACTTTTTTATACTTTTTTTTTTTTTTCCTTTTAACATCAGGAATCTTTAAACTCGTCAGTTCCAGGCGCTCATTCAGTTCTCCTAATTCAGAATTTGGGGGAATGACCAAAAACCAGGCATTCAGTCTGGTTTGGAGAATATAATATTGAAGGATTATAGTATTAGGTGGATAAAAGTTAGGAAACAATTTATTTGTCAAGAAATCCCAAATAATGGGCTGGAGAGATGGCTCAGTGGTTAAGATCATTGGCTACTCTTGCAGAGGATTGGGTTTTGATTCCCAGCACCTACATGGCAGCTAACAGCCATCTGTAGCTCCAGTTCCAGGGGATCCGACACCATCTTCTGACTTCCTCGGACACTGCATGACATGGGTGCATTTAGAAACATGCAGGCAATACATTTATACACATAAAAATAATTTTTTTTAAAAAAAAGAAATCTCAAATAACTAGTAGGAAAAATTCCCAATATTTATATGACAATATAATTGTCAGAAAAGTCGTGTGGTTCAGAGGTCAACTTAGTTACTGTTCAGATTTTTAACAACTGATAAATTATCTTAAAATCTCTTATGAACTAGCAGAGATTTCCATATGGTACCTTTACTCTTACAATGAAGAATTACGTATGATATCACAAGTTCAAGTAATCTGGAAAAAAATTCCCAATATTTATATGACAATATAATTGTCAGAAAAGTCGTGTGGTTCAGAGGTCAACTTAGTTACTGTTCAGATTTTTAACAACTGATAAATTATCTTAAAATCTCTTATGAACTAGCAGAGATTTCCATATGGTACCTTTACTCTTACAATGAAGAATTACGTATGATATCACAAGTTCAAGTAATCTGGAAGTTTTTTTTTAATAGGAATGTGAGGAAATTATGTGTTCCATAAGAGTATAGTAAATACAGTATAATAGTAGTTTTTAGATTTGGACATGATGATGCATACCTTTAATCTTAGCACCCTGGAGGCAGAGGCAGGTGGATTGCTGTGAAATTGGGGCCAGCCTGGTCTAAATAGTGAGTCTCAGGCCAGCTGGGGAGACTGCCTCAAAAAATCCAAAACCACAAAGCAGAAAATAGTTTTTAGAAATCAAGTGTTGTGTTATTTCTTACTGGACCAATTCCTAGTAAGTGAGGAGTAACGAGAATTGATAAGAAATTTAATTGTCTTCAAATACTGCCAACAGACAAATAGCTCTTTCCAAAGATTCGGATATTGATTCAGCAGGTCATATGTGCTTTATGTATGTTCCCAATTGCTAATAGAAGTGAGATTGGGTAGAACATGGGTTTGCTGGTGCATTCCCCATACTCAGGGAGCTGAAGCAGGACTGCCATTTCCAGGTCTGTTCTGGGTACACCATGATCTCCAGGTCAGCCTGTCTATAGCAAATTCCTTTTACAAAAAACAAACAATGGCTATTGGGGGGCTCACCTTTAGTCCCAGCATTTGGCAGATGGACTTCAGAGTTTGAGGCCAGTTTGATCTACATAGGGAATTCCAGGGCCAGCCAGAGCTACACAGGGAGACCCCGTCCCAAAATCAATCAAACAAAACCAAAAAGGAGTGATTTTTTTTTTCCTATACCGTTGCTTTTCTTTTACACTTTCCCCCCCCTTTTTTTTTCAGTTGACAAGTCGAGGCCAGCTGCTTCCTGACTGACTGTTCACGATGCAGAAGAGACAGGGATATTGCAGCTATTGCCATGTGCAGTACCCTAACCTGGAACAGGTGAGAGGGTCTCACTGATACGATCATAGCACATAGTGCCTTAGTTGTGAGTTTCTCTTCTTTTAAGTTTTGTTAGATTCATTTATTCGTTCATTGAACGGAATCTCCTAGTTTGTAGATATTGCTTAATAGTCTAAGAGTATTATTATGAACAAAGCCAAATTTCTTTTTCCATAGAGTTTACAGTATAGTTCAGTAAGACCAGAAATAAGTAAGCATTAATTTTTAGAATGTAATATGTCAAATTATGATAATTTTATTGGGAAAATAATATAGAGAAGAGAGTACTATTTTAAAGTAGAGTGGCCAGGTAAGGCTTTTTAAAGAAAATGACCTTTGAAGTAGACATTTGAGAGAAGTTCAGTGCCAAGTTTGCATATATATGGAGGAAGGATTTCTAGACAGAAAAAAAGAAAGAGCCCTGGGCAGAAGTGTGGTTCAAAAACCAGAAGCCAAGTGGCTAGTGTGATCCCAGTGCAAGGGCGGCACCCAGTGGGCACTAAGTCACAGGCAAGGAAGGAAGAGAAATGGGTTCCGTAAAATCTTGTAGGTTAAGGTAAGAACTTTGAATTTTATTCCAATCAGATGGGTGCCATCTCAGGGACATGAGTTGGACAGTGAGGTCATTGAACTTCTACTTTAGATGGACATTCTGGTTGCTTTTGGGTAGAATAGTTGAAATGGGGTCTATTATTTTATTGCAATATAATTCTTACATCATAAATTTCACCCCTTTAAAGTGAAATTTGGAGACTTAGAGTATACACAGTGATATATTGCCTAATTCTAGAAATTTTCATCACTGAAAGGGAAACCATATAGCTACTAAACAATACTCTGTATTCTCTTGATTCCTAACCTCTGGCAACCACTTATCTACTTTCTGTTTCAAAAATTGGATGATCCTGGATATTTCATATAAATGGAAGCATTTGCGGTGTGACCTTTTGTGTCTGACTTTTTCATTTAGCATAATATATTCAAGGTTCATTCATGTCATAGCATGTATTACTACCTCATTCTTATTCTGGCTGAATAATATTCCATTGTAAAAATAATGCCACATTTTATTTATTCATTCAACAATTGATGGATGCTTAGGTTGTTTTTACTTTCTTTGGCTACCATGAATATTGCTGCTATGAATATTTGTGTATAAGTTTTTGTGTGGACATACATTTTCAGTTCTCTTGGGTATATATTTAGGAGTGGAATTGTTGGGTCATATGATAACTTTAATTTTTTTGAGGAACTGCCTCACTGTTTTCCAAAGTGGCTCTATTATTTTATGTCACCTCCAGCAACGCATGAGGGTTCCAATTTCTCCTCATCCTTGCCAGCACTTTAAAAAAAATTACAGCCATTTCAGTGAATGTGAAGTGATACCTCATTGTGGTTTTGGTTTGCATTTCCCCAGTGTCACCGAGCATGCTTCCATGTGCTTACTGGTTGTTTTGTATACCTTCTTTGGACAAATGCCTATTCAAATTATGTGCCCATGTTTTACTTGGTTTGTCTTTTTTATTATTGAGTTGTAAGCCTTTCTTTTAGCTTTGCAGACCTTTATGAAATGTGATTGTAAATACTTTGTCCTATTCTATGGGTTGTCTTTCCACTTTCTTGATGGTATGCTTTGATGTACAAAAGTTTTAAATTTTGCTAGGTGTGGCAATGCTTGCCTGTAATCCCATGATTTAGGAGGTGAAGGCAGGAACATTACAAATTGCAGGCCAACTTGGGCTGCATAGTGAGACTTGTCTCAAAAAAAAAGTTAAAAATTTTGTTATTATTGAATTATTATTTTTTTAAGACAGTTTTTTACTATGCAGTCTAGGCTGGCCTTAGACTTGAGAAGTCTCCCTGTTTCAGCCTCTTGAGTACTGAGGTTACAAGCATATACCACTGCACCCAACTGCATTTATTTTTCTCTATGACTGTGTTCTTGATAAAGGATTGTGTAATCCAACATCATGAAGATCTATAAATGCCTGTTTTCCTCTAAGAGTTTTGTAGTCGTTTGCTTTTACAGTTAGGTCTTAGGTTCATTTTGAATTAATTTTTTGTATAGGGTGTGAGGTGCAATCCAACTTCATTCTTTTGCTTGTGATATCCAAAAGATAGTCTTTCCTATTGAATTGTCATGATGTCTATTGGAAATCAACTGATATAATTGTAAAGATGTATTTCCTTATTCTCATTTCTGTCCCATTGGTCTATATATACATCTGAATGCTAGTACCACAGAGTTGTGTTTTTTTAACATTTTAGCAAAATATCTTTAACTGGTGTGTAACAATTATATATATTTGTCAGATAACTGTGATATTTCAGCACATGTATACAATGTGTAATGATCAGATCATGGTAATTGGCCTGTCACCTCAGACAATTACCATTTTGTTGTACTGGGAACATTCTCTCTGCTATTTTGAAATACAGAATTGTTGTAATCATTGTTCCTATACAGTTTTGTAGAACATTAGAAGTTGTTGCATCTATCGAGTTGTACTTCCATACCCGTTAATCTTCTCCCCATCCCACACCCTCTCAAGCTCTGCTGCCCATTATCCCACTTTCTGCCCTTAAAGATTTCACTTTGCAGCTTCCACACGAATCTGTCTTTCTGTACCTAGTAAATTAACCCTAACATAATGCCTTCCACTTCTATGTTGCTACTACAGTTGACAGAATCTCATTCTTCCTATGGCTGAATAATCAAAATCTCTCTGTCTCTGTCTCTGTCTCTCTCTCTCTCTCTCTCTCTCTCTCTCTGTGCATCACACTTTCTTTATCCATTCATCCCTTTTTGGACACAAAGGTTGACTCCATTTTGGGGCTCCTGTGAATAGTTCTGCAGTAAATGTGAGACTGCATGTGTCCCCTCAGCATATTTCATCTCCTTTGGCTATATAACAGTAGTGGGGTTTTCAGTTATATCATGGAGTTTCTGGTTTTCTGAGGAAACTCTCCTGTTTTTCCAGAGTGGATTCCCATCAACACTGTAGTAGTGACACTCCCCTTTCTTCTCATCCCCATCAACGCTTGTTAGTCCTAAAATCTTTTTTGTTAATAGCCACTCTTACAGGAATGAGGAGATATCTTATTGTAGTTTTGATTTATATTTCCCTGATGATTAGTGATGTTGAGTATTTTTTAATATATTTGTTTACTATTGTTTTTGTGTTTGTTTTTTGACAAAATCTCCCTAGTCCCAGCCCACCTGGAAGTCACTATGTGAACTAGGGTAGCCTTTATCTCACAGAGATCTGCCTACCTCTATCTCCAGAGGACTGGGATTAAAGGCAGGTGCCACCACGCCTGGTATTTGTTTACTATCTGCATATTGTCTTTTGAAAATGTCTGTAGAGGTTATTTGCTCATTTTGAAACCATATGATTAGTTTTTGCTATTGAGCTGTTTGGGTCCTGTTTGTATTCTGGTAATTACTTTGTTGAGTGGCTGAGCATGGTGGCTCATGCCTTTCCAGCAGTCAGCAAGTAAGAGCAGGAGGATCAGGTGTTCAAGGCCAGCATAGCGAGTTTGAAACCAGCCTGAGGTACAAGAGACCTTGCCTCAAAAACAGACAAAGAAACAACAACAAAAAAAGCCCTAAAAATTAAAAAAGAATCCTGGGTTGAGGAGATGACTCCATGGGTAAAGGGCATGCCATGGAAACTGAGTTTAAATTTCCAGAGCCCATGGAAAGCAAGCATGGTAGTGAGCTCCTGCAATCCCAGGGCAACTGTGGCGAGATGGGAAGCAGGCAGTAGAATCGCTTGCAGCAGTGAAAAACTAAAAGAGAGACCCTGCCTCAAAACAAGGTGAAAGGGAAGGCCTGACATCACCCCCACTTACCCCCTTCCCCCCAAAGAAGGCACAGTGGCACATACCTTTAATTCCAGCACTCAGGAGGCAGACACAGGTGGATCTCTGTTAGTTGGCGGCTAGCTTGGTCTACATAGTGAGTCTAGGATAGCTACAACTACAGTGGGACTCTGTCCCAAAAACAAAGTTTGAGGAGGGGAGGGGGGATGCTGGAGAGGTGGCTCAGAGGTTAAGAGCATTGGCTGCTCTTGCAGAGGACACAGGTTCAGTTCTCAGCACCGATGTGGAGGCTAACAACCATCCTTATCTCCAGTTCCAGGGAATCTGATGCCCTCTTCTGGCCTTCATGGGCATTCCATGCATTTGGTGCACTTAGATACATGTAGGCCAAACTCATACATGTAAAATACAAATAAAAAATAAAAATAAAAACAAAACAAAAGTTGTATTAAAAACAAGAAAGAAAAACAAAGTCCCTGATCAGAAATTTCTTCCCTGTATTGCTAACCTTATAGAGCAGAAATGTTCTATTTTGTCTGTTTATTTATGCATTATTTTCTTTGAGACATGGTCTCTCTGGTAGCCCTGGTGACTTTGAACTCACTATGGAGACCAGGCTGGCTCAAGCTCACAGATGTCTGCCTGCTCTGTCTTTGAGTGCTAGGATTAAGGGCATGTGCCACCCACACCCAGTGTAGAAATGATTTAATTTGATGTAATCCCATTTGTCAGTTTTAACTTTTGTTGCTTGTGCAAATTTTAGGATCATATTAAAAAAAGAATCTTTGCACTGACCGGTGTTGTGAAACAATTGTGAAGGGAACATAAATGTTTTATTCTAGTAATTTCATCATTTTCTTACACTTAAATGTTTGCTCTAGTTTAAGTTGATTTTTGTATATAGTAAGAGATTGAAGTCTAGTTTTATTCTCCTATATATAAATGTTGAAGTTTTCTAGTACCTTTTATTAAAGAGACTTTCCTTTAGTTGGTGTTTTCTCTGCCTTGATTGAAGATCAGTTGGCTATAAATGTGTGGGTTATTTTTTTTATTTTTATTTTTAATTCTGTTTCTTTGGTCTAGGTGTCTTTTTATGCCAGTGCCATGCTGATTTAGTTACTATAGTTTTGTAGTATGGTTTGGTTTGAAGTTAGTATTGTAATACTCTTACCTTT